CGTGACCTTCTAACTTAAGCTCATTTTATCGAGCATCCTCAGAGCCTTTGGTACCACGCTTTTGACTCTCTTACTGAATAACCTGGATGGGTCATTCATTTTCATTCCCGCCTGTTAAACATTCCTTTATGTCACGGTTCCATCAAAAGGGCATTGTCACTCGCGGGCTAATGCGTCCACGTAAAATGAAAAGATATGAACCAGAACAGCGTGCCTCCTGAGAGGCCATAAATCACCGAATTCATTTCCTGCCGTCAGTGTTCGCCAAGAAAAGGACACAAGATCTATGCGAAATAAGCTGGCGATTTGCCCAGGATAACTTTACATTCTAATCCGCTACGAGATGCAGCTTACATAGTTCATTTAAGCCCGAGCCTGATTAGAGTCGTAGCGGTCATAATCTGTGGATATTTACTAATCACTTAGTCATTTGCTGTGTGAATGAAAGCAAAATCCAAATCCTGTGGGAAACTCTACATCGAACAAAATTTGAAAAGTTTTCCACGGGAATGAAAAGATAGTTGGAAAAAGGTCAATCAAATTTTTAATGTCCCGTGGGGGGAGGAATACAGAATTTTGCTTAACATTTTGCCACAAATGGTCAGGGATAGATTTACAGAACTCTGAGTCTCTGCTCGGGTCGCTGGCGCAATCGCTATGGCCACATAGCGATTACGCCAGCGACCCGAACAGAGACCCAGGGGGGACGTTCGTGAAGGCACAGTTTGGACAACTATACGTGGCTGAGTACTGCTGCACACCTGGTCCTTCGCCTGATATTCTTGGCTTGTCCCTTATTTTCACCCTGGAAAGCCGAGACCCATTCCTGTGGGTACCAATTAACCGACCCCGGAGGGATGGAAGGCTTGGTTGGCCCGGGCGACTCACGACCCAGGATTTGATCCCCGGACCGCTCGCGTGGTAAGCGTGCCACTTGCCACTACACCACTTCCGCCCGTGGATCTTACGTCGAACTAAATCACCGAATTTAAACTGAGCTACTGACTGTGAGTGATGCAGAGTGAATTTGCCTTGTAGAATTTGGCAATAACAATATTATGTAGAAAAATTTATCAGGCAATCAACGACGAGTATCGGTGACAAAAGGAGATAAGTATTTTCTTTGGTGATACCGCGTGATATTTATTTGTACTATCATTGTGTCCGTGAGAGTTGTTGTTGTGAAAATACCATTATGAGATACACGAAATCTAACACCCTCCAATAGTTTTAACAACGATTGTTA